TGTTTTCGTTCCACCCAATTTTTTTTTTTACTTTTTTGGAAAAAATAAATTTGCACAAAATAGTTTACGTGCCAATTTAATCCAAATCTTGCCAAATCAAGCCTTGCCTCTTGAGTGTACACGTAAAAACCCGACAAGGCAGTCCAAAACAACCGCAAAATGGTGGCCCGATTTAAATTACAAATTTTCAGACCACACTGCGCGATTCAGCTTGTATTAAATTTCCTCGTGCCAACACTAAGCAAACGACGACTCGTCAAGAGACTACTTGACCTTAAAAATGGAAAGTCACTTGACCCCAAAAGAGCACTTCATCTCATAATTAGAGCGCAGTTGTCGTTTTTCGCTCGCTTGGTCGACAATTCTAAATGTTTTATTATCCATGCCGAAATATTGCACTAAATTGCAATCTGTCTTATAATATAACGACGCTGTTATGCACTCGAAAAAAGGACTTAGGAAAAACAAAACAAAACGAGCGACTAAATATGAACAACAGTAAAACCGAAATTTACTGACTGTAGACAATTCAAAGGTTTTGCGTGAGTGTGCATGTTTATGGTGTAAATCGAAGACACACATGTGAAGCATCATCGAGTAATTGAGGACAGGAGTCAAATTGAGGACGACCTCGATTAGAAAACGTGTACACAAAACCAATGGGAGCTGCTGCAAAAATTTCGTGTAAAAACAAAAGATCGATGATGAGGAACAATACAAAATCCTTGATATGATTTACACCATAATCAAACCTGCGAGTGCGGGGGCGTTTGTTTATGGTGTCAATCGAGGACACACACGTGCAACATCATCAGTGAATCGAGGACAGGAACCAAATCAAGGACGACCTCGATTAGAAAACGTGTACAAAACCAATGAGAGATATTGCAAAAAAAGTTAGGGTGAAACCCGAACCCCTCTGTGCACGGAGAAAAAGGAAAATCCAAATGTACCGCATGGCCACCGTGTTGCATCGATTTCTCCCACTCTCAAATTCGTCAGAAGCCAGACTCCAAGTCCCCGAATGGAAAAGACTTCATTATAATCCACATCAGAGCTACTGTACGTATACGACTTTCAGCGAGCATCTGTGCCGAGTTACACGGTCAATGCCAGATGCCCCGTTATCGTTATCAACGACGAGATGTATTTCGCACTAAAACAAATATCAACTACATGTACTTCATATTCGTGTATTTTCTTTCTTTATCTATCCCTTGCAAAAGTGCTTTTGGTGATTTCTCCATCTGCGTTACGCACAACAACTCGATGCATGGCGCCGCGCACGCGTTACACGAGCTCGATTCGAAACTCGACGCCTCTCGGTGAAAGTTGGCACAGGTGTTTAGTAGCCTTGCACAGACTTGGTTTTATCCCGGTGAAATTTCAGAGGCGGAGACTATATTGAGGCAAAATGAGGAATGTCCCCCAAAACCTTGTTTAGAGTAATCGCCGCCTGCAGTCGGATATACTAGAAAAATCGTGTCAAAATCGATGTTGATTGTTTTGTATTTTTGAGTAGCAAAGGTACCCAATATTCAAACTATGCCTTTTGTTTTGGGAAAAACACCTACAAAAGTGGAAAAGTGAAGAACAGTTTTTTACTATCGGCGTTGGCAGCGCAATGCGTGTTTTTTTTTTCAAAGCCGTTTTTCTCAAAATGAGGTTAGCGACTCGTGGCAGGACACTGTTGAAGTTCCTGCGTCATATCTTTGGAATAAATTAAGCTACAGAGATCCATCTGGTATCATTGGAAAGCCAACGAATTGCGCTTTAACATGATGCACACAACATGAAAAGTCAAAGGTGGGGGTTATTCCTCATTATGCCATGGCAGGTCACAATTATGCGTCTTTGAATGTGCTAAATGTTTTAGTTTTGTTTTGTAATCCGTCATGCAAAACAATAACAAATATCAATGTATCGGTTGGGGCAGTGAAAGTGACTATACCAAGTGCCAAAAGGACAAACTGAAACGGAACATAATTTTTTTCATTGGTATCACTGTAAAACCTTCGTAAGATCAAAAGACAATCGCGCCCTTTTACGAAATGGTCATTGTTTGTTAAAAGTCATTCGCAATGAAGTCTAGTCAGAACATAAAATCGTACGATGATTTGGAATCTAGTCAAATGCCATCAAAATCGGTATGCTCAGTTTGTGACCAAAATTGTCCGTCAGTCAAGCACTATAGACACCTGTCTGTCAGAAGGGCATAGCTCATTAATAAAGTGTTGGTTAATAAATGATGGGAGATTGTAATTAGCCTAACGAGAGTTCCCGGTTGCCATGGGTTACCGAGCATTGTCAATATAAAAATATTCGTATCAAGGGTCTCCAGTGACGCGAGAATTAAGGGATGCGTCGATTTTTAAAGGACAATCGTAATTCCTGAAGTTCATTCGCGAGATGGAAATATGATTTTGAGAAGCATCTGTTCCGATACCATTTAAGAAAGGAGGACACGAACCCGATATAGCTTTCACTACGCTTGCAACAGGAGAAGCTCAAAATTGTTGCAGACCAACCCCCAACATATCAGAATTTACTTGAATGTGCTTAATACTTTAGCGGCACGATTATATAATAAATATATGTTGGTATGTTAAACTAGTTTCCCAAGGAAATAGATAACAGAATTAATGTACGGGAACACATATTAGGCATACAAGCTGGCTGAACCCTGTAATTTACTTCCATATTATTTTAACATGAGTGGAGACATCCATATGTCCACTCATTATACAATGATGTTAAACTTCACTGGCTAACATTTGCTGAAGATGTTGTGCAATAAATGACGAGAAAAACAATTATTATTATCCACAAGTGCTTTAAACTGAACGAGGCACATTATGATAATTAAATTCCCAATGCTATCATCCGTATCAATTCTCAATATATCACAATTGGATAGCATATCTTGAATAGCTGGACTACAGTTGGGAGTTTCGAACCGAATGCAAATTTACTACATGTGTGTATCTTTAGAAATACTGCTATAAAACGAACTAACCCAACGTTGGTTAAATTTGGTCAAATTTAATCAACATTGGGTATAAAAAAATGACTCATTTTAACCGACCGTTGGTTACCAGGTGAACCACACAACAGTTGGTTAAAAAATGGGTTAAAAATTAAGCAATTTACCCAACGTTTGGTAAAATGTAACTAATATTGGTAAAATTGCAAACATTGACACAATGTTGCTTAAAACTTTAACCAACCTTTTTTTACCAGCCAAATTTTAACCAGTGTTTTGAGAGTGTATAATTCGTTCATTTACCAGAAAAATAGAAAACGAAATTCAACTAAATGCCTTTACTCGTCACGGCACGTCGAACCCCTAAGCTCAGGCCAGGAATCGGCGATCCATCACGACTGTTGACGATTTCCCACTATCTGACAGTCATTCATAACTCATGAGGGCCCTTCCATTAGCGGGCAAGCCTCCCCAGCGGGCCGGCGTAGGTCAGCCGTGACAGCTTAAAACCAATGAGCACAAGCGCGCTTCCCCCTTCTTTTCCCGTACCTAATTTGTCTCTCTTTTATGATAACCGAACTTGGCCGAATACAAACAGAGAACTCAAATTTGCATGACGCTTGCCACTTCAATTTTGAGAGGATTGTTTATGGCGGAGTTCTCTTTCATCTGTGATGAATTAGTTCTGGCAAAGGTGCTGTAGGGAACATCCCATTTTCGGTAATCCTTCTCTTTGGGACCCCGTTCCTATATAAGGTTAAAAGACTCACCAAAACAGCTGACTAAAATGACACTCAAAAGTGATTTTTAAAAAATATATCTTGACACAGCTGGTAATGACACCTTGAATATTGGCAGGTTTGATTTTGTGTGATGAGGGCAGGGCTTTTATTTAATAACGGGGCAAAAGACGACAACGACAACCAGAAAACAGGCTCAAAAACCAAGATGGCAATTCTGAAAGCTCGACTCAATGAAAGCTCGATGCTGATTGGCTGATAACAAAAAAATATTGTTCTAGTTTTTCTATCAGCTAATCAGCATCAGGATCAGGTTTTTATTGTGTCGGGCTTCCACGTGCAGGTCTCACGTCTCTGACTGCAAAAAAAAGGGTATTCAAGTCACATTTTCTTTGAAAGTGCGTTTCAAAACTACAACAAAACATGAGTTAATCTGAAGAAAAAAGACTGCGTTAGCCTGCAAAAGTCACTTTGGTACTGGACAGTCACCTGCAAAGTTTTGAACAGAACTCGTACAAAAAGAGGTGTCCTAAAGATAAGGATTACCCCATTTCCTATACAATAATTCTTCATACATCAAGAGTAGACAACAAAGAAAAAGTCTGAAGACTCTATTTCCCCACATCCAGAAAACGAGTTTAGTTAAAATACATAGTAAAGAAAAGATTCGCCCACAAGAAATAAAAATCGAGAGACATTATGAATGCAAAATGAAACACCCAAAGATGCATGATCCAAGAAGTATTCTTCGACATACCAAGTTCACGGAGAAGCCCTTTTCTATGCGCATGAGCAGTAAACGCTGACCATCTGTCATGATGACAGTGATGCGCAGAGGATGCGCTCTGTGGCAATCTGAAGCGCGGCACACGGACGAGTATCGGTATAAAACACACAGACACACTCACTCGCTGAACAGTGAGCAGTGATATCTGTATTGACGAGCACACTCGTGTGTTGGCGGGCAGCACGCGTGATTTACCACGATACACGAGACCAAACTAACAATTTACCGTTCACACGATACCAGACGAGACTAGTGAGAATACGCACTTCCGAAGATAAAACATGCTGTGGCATCATTCAGTCTCCTTCTAAATTGTGAGATGATATTCGTGCCGACGTTTCCAGATTCATCTTCCTTGATTCTGGCATGACGTAGACGCACCACAGCTTCTTTACTGGGCAGTTTGTTCCATCTTGAAGTTTTCGTTTGTCGGATCCTCTGGAGTAAAACTGGTGCATCGATAGATTTCAATCCTTACCACCAAAAAAACATGGAAAACTCTACCTGGCCGCCCGATGTGTATTCCAGCTACGCCACAACGCTGTACAGCGATGCCGCTAATCACACCCTGGATTCTGTGTACGCGAGCATTGGTGGTAATACCACCACGGAGCCCACACTTTCGTGCCCGGCACCGCCCGACCTGCTGTCCAGCGCCATGGTGGCCCTGGTCACCGTGGCCTACGCGCTCATATTCTTCTTCGGCGTGACGGGCAACGCCCTGGTGGCGATCGTCATTTGGAACAACGTGGACATGCGGAGTTCCACCAATTACTTCTTGGTCAACCTTAGTCTGGCCGACCTGATGGTTCTCCTGGTCTGTATGCCGCCTCCCCTGATGGAGCTGTACGTGCCCCACGTCTGGCTTCTTGGAAAGTTTATGTGTGAGTAAAAACTCTTTTTCATTGAAGAAAAGTTAAAATCCTCTTGTTCTCGTCATAACTTTGAAGCCGCAGACGATCTATTCATCAGGGCCTAAATTTGCTTAACACAAAAACAGTGTGGCTTATACAAGCAGATTACCAGCCAAAACTCCAAGTGATTTTCATGCTAGGCAAACAACAGCTGAATACTAATCATGAGTAATATACATCAAAAGGTGTTTTGGCTGGTAACTTGTTTTATAAGCCAGACTTTTTTTTGTTCTCAGCAAATTATTGTGCTGAGCAGCGCCGTGAAATTGGCCCCAGAACGTAATGTCATGTGCATTTTACATCATTTCTCGTGACGTTAACAGTAATGTTTTTGTCCTTCAGAAATAGTCATAAAATGAAAGTATTATTGTTGGTTGTACTGGTCTATGGTTGGCCTAACGTAAACTCTTGCTGACAATTTATGGGGTATTCTAACAATGTTTAATGTCCTTCATAAACAATTACGGTATAGCTGAACAACAAGGTGGAACAGACAATACGCAAAATAGAAACGTGCCAGTAAGCCATAGTTGTAAAGAAGAGGAGATGCAGACGATTGAAAAGCAGAGCATATTAATTTGAATACAAGGCGTGCGCTTGGAACACCCTAGATAATTAGTTGATATCCTCATAGCCTATTATACAAAAAAAAGAGGACAAACAGGCACATCCCAATCTATTGTTCCTCTCCCCTCCCTTTATTTATGCTTCAATTAGGGAGAATTTACTGGCTATCGTAAGTACACCTTAATGTTAAAGGGGCATTATGGCCTCAAGTCCCCGAAAATTTCATGTTTTGGATTGTTTACTTATCATATCTCAAAGGTCTGGTTGAAAGGGAACTAACCTTATGTCTTACCGTTCCCGAGAAAAGACGGGGAAAAAAACCGGTTGTTTACATCGGACGCCGTGGAAATTTTGTGGCATAGGCCTCAACATACGTATTTCAAGTCGTCTCTATTCAACGAACTACTCACGTCGTGTGTGTGTGTCTAACATAATACGCACAGACACAAAATACACAAATGTTAGTTCTAACACGTCCGCAGAATGCGACGCACTGTGCGACAGGATTCACAACTAACACTCACAGCTCTATTTTTCTGGGACAAAATGACCCCTGAAACTCGTTCTTTTATGGTTCTCGAAGGAATAACACAAAAACGCCCGGGTTTTAAAGGATCATTCTGTGGACGTTCATATCCTACTTTTAAATGTTCTTTCCAATTAATATAATTTCGTCTCAAACGCGTTATCCCAATTGGGCGCATTCCAGGCCATAATCCCTTTAACTGCCCACTTACAAACACAATACATACGTCACGCGAAATATGAATGCAAAACGAAATTATGACGTCAATTTTTATCCGCGCTGCAAATTCCCCAAATGTAGAGTGCGTATTAAAGACTTCGCCGCCGGCCACAGCTCTTTTTCAAGCCCCAGGTTTGTAGGTTGGAACTTGGAAGACTGACTTTTCAGTCGTGCATGCACAACGCCGACGGCAATACACCCACGATCAGGGCTTGATAAAACCGACATAAAAACAGCTGCTTGAATACTACCTGACAAAGGGGGCACCTGGCTTGCTAGAGAAAATATTTAGATAATCGCGGCGGCGCAATAATCGTGTCTCTCTGATCCACTTTCATCAGAGAGAGCTCGGGGCGAGTGCGGACGGTTTGTGTATAGAGTACTTAATCAAATACTTCAAATAAATGTAGGTTTTCCCGGCCAAATTCAACAACATTCGGTTGATTTTAAAGTTTTCCAATTCACGCAGGTGTCTGAATTAAGATCAATCTAGGCTTTCTTTTTTTTAAATAGTATTGTATTCAATTGTGTGTTTGTGCACACGAGATTTTGTTTTTAATATGCAGGCTCGTTTGAGTCATTCCTTTGATGGGATTTCAAGATTGCATTTTTAATCGTGCTGTAGTCAAATTTTTACCGTTTTTTCGCAATTGGTGCAATCAAATTAGGTCATCGAAATGGTCATGATTTTTGCAATTAATCTTCGATTAATCTAATCTTCGATGTAGTGAAATTAATTCCCTTTGCTTTTATACACTTGCTCTTTTTTAAAATACACTTGGGCACTTAACCGTGGTTTATCTCCCACCCACCCTAAAAAACAAATGAATAAAATAAACAATAAACGGAAAGTAAAAGCTAAAAAAACCGAGCAATTCCAAAAACAAGTCTATAAGTATCACATCGAAAACATGAGTATTGATTCAGAGGGATAGTTGTCTGCCTTTTGCGACATGGTCTACCGTGCGAATATTGACTCAGAAGTGATTTGTTGTTGGTACAACGGAATGAGATGACTATCGTTACAGATAAGACCCTGTATAGACTGATTGATGCCCGTCTTCCTGAAGATTTTGTCTCTTGGAACTATCGAATCAATTTCTGTCACGTAAAGACTGCCGCATGTAGAAAAAAAATCAGCTACTTGTTATTTGCCCTGGTTATTCGGGTCTCGATCTCGCTAGATTATTCCGTGGATTGAGTGCCATATCACTTTTTTCCGTGTAGTTTATAAGTGAGTACCATATCATATTTCTTGACGACATGCATGCATAACAATCGCGGAAACACAGTGGTTGCCTCTTTTGAGCTCCTTAATCATTTCCCAATGTTCAAGTGTTCAAGTCTCGGCACGGACAGCATAGGCCTACGGTATGGTTGATGTGAGGTCAACTTGAATTACATTAAGGAACACACACTATCAACTTAAGCCCAATCGACTCGATGAGAACAGCAATCGACATAAGTTGCACAGCTGGTTAGTGGTTACCAACATCGTATCGTATTTAGGACATACATACAGGAGGGAGCCAGGATTTGAGTATTCCAGATTAAATTTGACACTGATTCGTCTGGAGATCATTCGCTCTTAAAGTTTACCGTAGAGGCGTAAGATACTTGATTGTTATTACTCGTACTTGAAGTAAAATTAACGTAACACATTAATGTCTCTTGTCACTTAATAAACCCTTAAGTGGCAGCATGCAGATTTCATTGAATGACTGGTACTCAAGCATAAACAAAATTAAAGAACTGACTTTGAGAAAACAACAGCCCTCCCCCCCAAAAGAGAAACTTTTAAGCTAAATCGACTGTAAGGTTGAAGCACAGGAGATGGTAAAGCCGTTTTGCTCACGATATGGAAATGTGCATCGAGTTTTCGTAAATTGTTTTAGCGGTGTTTTTTTTTAAGCGTACAGCTGATTGGCTGCATAATATTGATCATAAAACCCGTTTTTTTCCTATTATGTTTACACCGAAAGAGCAATACCAACTACAAATTTCTTCAACTGCAGAATGTGGCGATCGATATCTTAAAGTTCAACGTATTCTCCTCTTTAAACAACGGGTTTCGACCCAAATAACGCCTCAACTCTTGAGTCCAGTTGGTTGTGATGCAATGTTCTCGCTGTGAATTTAATCATGTCACGGAAGAAAAACAAACCACTCTTCAAAATGACATGACGGATCGCATAAAAATGTCAGTCAACCTCAGCATGCCGGTGCTACACTGTTTTGCCATGTCTTAAATGAAACATTTTTCCTCATCCATTTGGGTCTTAGCAACACTCCAGCGCGATTAGCTACATGAACAAATTCCCTACATGAAGGAGTGTTGTAAGTCAACACTCGCACAAAAAGGGCGGTCCTCTGGCTGATGATTAATCCTGGCCTCAGACTCACCAGCTACAGCGGACTGGGGAAATCTGATAACGCGAACGTATCAATCGTGTGGCGAATTGCCGATGCACTTCAACAGCTCACCTCGCGAGATTAATCTTTGACTTCGAAGTCTATAACCAAGTGACGAGTTGAAGACGTGTTAACAGCGATTGCCTACTTCGCAAGTGCCAACTACAGTACAGGCCGAATTGACGTGCTACTCCACTCGCTCGTGAGATGCACGTCACGTACTCGGTTGATTGCCCTTTTTTTGCACGCGCGCGTTTCAGACGCGTGTACCGAGGACAAGTTGAGGTATCCGCTTGATCTGTATGTCCGCTATTCATTGATTCATTTTATGAAGACATTTTCAGAACTGCACTCGCACATACAGGGTCGTGTGTTCCACTCTCAACCAACAAAAGGGGCTCATTAGAACAAGTGGGTCCAATTAAAACACTTTTGCAAACTTATTTTGCGTATTGTTTTGATGTGGAAGAAATGGTAAAACAACGGGACCCAATGGTAAAACCGACAAGGCTTGCCTTCGACCTCAGTCTGTTGCAATGACGGTATCGTGGAAGTTTTCTGGCGGATCCCAGATACCAGCATCAAACTAAATGACATTGGTGCGTCAGTTGCCTGGTGGCCCGTACTGATCCATGTATAAAGGGAGTGCAGGACCAAACTGGTAACCAGTCGCACAACAGCCTTTGATAATCAGAATGTCCTGCACACCGAGTGATTGTCGTATATTCTCGTCTACACTGGGACGTTCCCCAGCTAATTATTGCCACAGGTGTTTGAAGTGTGTGTGCCTGATTGAAGAAGCACCTGGGGGATGGATGGCTAATTCTTTTTTTGTCAAAGAGTGTTCCAATGTTTGACCTGACCGAGAAAAGACATAGCCAGGTGTTACTGTGTGGCACAAAAATCATCGCACGCGTCACTCCGCGACGCCGCAAATATCGTGGTGTGCCGTGATATGAGGAAATCCAACCACATCCGCAATATGTCACTGATCGCATTTAGATGAAAGAAACAGGCCCAGATGGGAATTCCATTCTCTTCAAGTTATTAGTTTTTCAGATGTGTCGAATTAAGAGTGTAGTTTGACGTATAATCTTGGCGTGGTGACAAATTTCAATTTATTATGCCGGTTAATATTCATTCGGTAGTTATTCATTCAGTCAATATTCGTTCGTCAGATGTGCTTGTTGGTTGGCTACAATCGGTGTAGAATGCGCGCGACGGGCGATTCCGTATAGCCTTAAAG